TAAAACACGCCGAATCTGTTGCTGCTACGCGGCCGCAAGTGGTGGTGTTGCTCTCTTGGACGGTCGCCGTATTTGGCCGGAGGAGAAGAAGATCCGGGGGGCGGCGGCTTGGGGAGTGGAAGAGAAGAAAGAGATGAAGCCTAGTTTGTTTTCTTTCTTTTTCACTTTTCTTTTCTTTATCTTTTTATTTTCGTTTTCCCTTCTTTCCTTTTCCAAAAACCAAATAATGCTAAATACCTTATAAATAAAAGGATTTTTTTCCAATCTTTTGTAAGAATAAACCACTTTAAAATGCTTTGAAAAATTTATTGGAGAGATTAATTAATTTTAAAACCTAATAATAAAATTTAAAAGGAAAAATTAAATTTCATTTAAGATTTAATTAAAAAACTCTTTCCAATATGTCAATTACGGAAAAGAAAGTGATAATTATCACTAAGCTATACTCGCTTTGGCGTAGATGGTTATTTATTTGATATTGTGTATTAGAAATTTTGTATAATCGAAATATCAAAAATAACAATTACTAGTATACTTTTTTTTTCATTTCTTTGTAGCTAATTATAAATAGGTTAAAAAACACTTATGGTCCCTGAACTTTCACTCAAGTAACAATTTAGTCCATGAATTTTAGTCCATGTACTTTCAATTTGGTAACAGTTTAGTCTCCGAACTTTAACATGTAACAACTTAGCTAGTTCTTGTAGTTTAAAGTTTGTAACAATTTAGTTCTTATCGTTATTTTTTTGTTATGTTTATTATATATATAAATCGATAAATCAATGAGGGTCAAAAATATGTTTATAAATTGTAAATGTTAAATCGTTATATGATAAAAATTGACACTTAATTTTGCTAAGATTTTTCACGATAAGGACTAAATTGTTAAAAATTTTGAACTACGGGGATTAAATTGATACATACTATAATTCAAAGACAAAATTTTTACATATTTGAAAGCATAATAACTAAATTGTTACGCTAAAGCGAGCACAACTCAGTGTAATTGACATATACCTCCAATCAAGAGGTTGGTATGTCCCACCACTTGATTTCATCCCTACAATTTAATGAATATCATAAAAAAGAAAGAAAATTTTGATTCCATTATTTGATTCACAATCATTTGAAGCAAATGGCAAATCAATTATTATTTATCAAAACCTAAACTAAAATAACAAAATAACAAAGGGGACGCATATTTATAGGCCAAGACCAAAGACTTTTACAATAATATTGTAAAATAAAATAAACCCTAAAATCTTAAGGTAAATAAAATAAAACAAAATAATTGCAAGATATTTCTCTAAATAACACCAACTTGCTAATCAAGTAAATGAATTCATGTTTGTCTCAACTTAAATATGAATGAAGGATTAATGCAAAAAAAATATTTCTAAGTTGGAATCTTTACCATTCAGTTGTGATAATATATATATATATATATATATATATATATATCTTCAGTGGCAAAAATATCTTCAGTGGTAAAGGACAAGTGTCACAACCGTAAAATCATCAATTAAAGAAAAACTATCTAAAGATTTGAAAACGTTGAAAACGCATTTCACTTTTTTTAGTACAACAATTGTGGGATGAGAGAAATCGAACCTCCAACCTTGAGGGGAGGAGTTAAGTTCCTTAATCGCTGAGCTAAGCTTATGTGTTGAAGGAAATACGCACATCTCTATTAAATAACGAAATGAAAACAACTAGAGTTTTGATTGTTCAATAGTTACAACACCCAATCTCCCCCAAAATGGGGTTTAACTCATGGGGAAAGGAGAAAATGAAATAGGCAAGGAAATGTTACAACCCATTTTAGAGAAAATAGAAGAAACCAAGATGGAGACAGCAGCTCGCGATAGCAGCAGAGGCTCCTCTCAATCGTCGGCTCCCTCCCGAAAATGGGTGACAGTCTTCCCCGAAAATGGTGAGTTTCTTCTCCCTTGTCTTTTCTAACACCAAAGATTGTTTTCTATTGGGATCTGTGTGTGTCGACTAGGGTATATTGTCCCTTTTATATTGGGCCCCAATTTTAAGGCACCCAGCTGGTGGTTGTGCGGGCATGGTAAATTATCCCGTATTTGGGACAATTACTGCTGTAATTCATGCTCCAGCGATTGTTTGTCAGTTCTTTTACGCTCTGCCTTGAACATGCTTTTCCACTTCTTTCTGAGTTTAGCGCTTTCTTCAAACTTTTATCTTCTTTTTCGGAACCTGCATATAAAAGCCAATGACAAGAGGATTCAACACAATTTTAAGCTAAAATGTTCAAGACATGGGACTTTAGCCCGAAATTCATTTTCTAAGATTATTCTTTTAGAGCTAAAATAAACACATTTTAAGATTTCGTTGTACAAAATTACCCAAAAAAGTATTAGAATAACTATCTTTTGGGGAGTTATCATTCATCTTCTTCTTTCTCCCTCTCTTCCTTCCTATTTTTCCTTTTCTTCTCCCTCAGATTACAGCGACTGCTCTCTCTCCTTCTCTCCCTTTCTAATCACAATGACAAAGAAATATGTTCTCTCTCCCTCTCCCTATTCTTCCTCTTCTTCTCCCTCTCATTACGGTAAAAAAAAAAAAAAAAATCAGTACTCAACATATTTGATTTCTTGAAAATAATCGACAACACATTTAGAAAGCCTAACTTAGTATTTCTATTACTTTCTATTATTTTCTTCTAGAAAATCGGAGCAAGATTAAAGGGAGAGCGAAATAGAACGAGATTTGAGATTCTAAGTGAGAGGGAATTTGAGCAAGAGCGAGAGTGAGAACGAGGTGGATCTGAGCGAGAGCGAGAGGTTTAAGGAGATATGGCATCCAGAATTACAGTAAAATCAAATTCATACCTCCGTCCAAAACCAGGACACCTTTTTCTCTCTCACCTCTGGATGTCTCCCTTTTCCACCGTAGAAAATCTGAGGAAGAATGAGTAGAAATATTTTTCTAAGCAATTTAATTTGTTGATCTGGTAAATCTTAAAGAAATTAGCTTTCATTTTCAAGGTGGGTCTTAAGCAATTAAGCAGCAAATTTGAGAAAGAATGGATAAAAATCTTGTTCATAAACCATTTAATTTGCAGATCAGGTAAGCTTGGAGAAAGGGGTCTTCAAATTCAAGGTGGGTCTTCGTTTTCTCGTATGACTTGGGAAAAAATAGCAGAAATAATCATAAAGGAAGGGGAGGGAGAGAGAAGATAAAGAGGAAAGGAGAGGAGGGAGAGAACATAAGAGAGAAGAGAGAAGAGAAGAGAAGAGAGACGAGAGAACATGAAGAATTAAAGAGGGGTGAATACCTATTTCACACGAAAATGACATAAGCAAAAGTGTAAAAAATATAAGTTTTCAAAAGTAGGATGACAAAAACTAGTCCACTTTATTATGCATCATAAATGTATGTTTAATTAATTATATGTTGCATAAGAGTATGTCATAGAGTTTAAAATCCCACCATAGGTTAAACATGATCATGCATCATATATGTATAAATGTTATAATGTACAAAAGCATAATTTATGTTTCATGAGTAATTAATATAATTGTTATGTTAATTAAATAAAAATTATTACATGAAGCATGACATTACTTTAGTAAATATAAATGTTATATTTATGCATGTCATAGTTGTAGATTATAGGTTAATTTTTTCAAAAGTGTGCCTATTTGTAAGTTACCCCAAGGAAATGAGAGGTGGACACTTCTTCGATCCACGAGAGAAAAAAGTGTTTGGATCGACAAATGCTACTTTCTTGGAAAAATACCACATGAGGGATCACAAACCACGAAATAAGGTTGTATTAAATGAGATTTCAAATGAAGCTACAAACACATCAACAAGAATTGTTGACAAAGCTGGCACTTCAACGAGAGTTGTTGATGGCGCTAATACATCACATCAGTCACATCCATCTCAATAGTTGAGAATACCTCGACGTAGTGGGAGGGTTATATCACAACCTAACTGCTACATGTGAAAGGAAATTAAAGTTAATTGTATAAGATGCAATTAATATAATGTATGATGATACATTATGATATAAAGTTAATTTTGAATTGAGTTCAAAATTAAACTGTACAGTATGAGAGAATAATGAATTTAATGTGAATTGGATTCATTTTGAAACTATACGTTAAATTTAATATGAATTAGATTCGTATTAAATACTATAGGCTATGAGAGAGATGAATATTTGAATATGATTCTAATATGGTTGATTAATTTAAATTTAATTAAATTAAGAACTCATTTGATAACCATTTTAGTTTCTAGTTTTTTTTTTTTTAGTTTTCTGTTTTTAAAAAGTAAAAACCATATATGTTTGGTAACTATTTTTTGTTTTTGAAAAATAGAAAACATGTTTGATAACCATTTTTAATTTTATGTTTTTAAAAAGTTAGAAAATTGGAAATATATATTAGAGAGAAAATTCTATCAGAGTATATGATAATAGTGTGGAGAGGGAGTGAAGATGTACTTTTCCATTCTCCTGCTCGTTAAAATCTTTAGTCTACCATCTCCACATTGTTCTTCAGTTCGAGAATCGAGAACCAGGTTAAAAAATCTTTATTTTAATGTATTTAATGTGAATTGGATTCATTTTGAAACTATACGTTAAATTTAATATGAATTAGATTCGTATTAAATACTATAGGTTATGAGAGAGATGAATATTTGAATATGATTATAATATGGTTGATTAATTTAAATTTAATTAAATTAAATATGATTTAATTAAGGACCCATTTGATAACTATTTTAG